AAACTATCATTAAAAAGGTTATTTATAACACCATTAAGGTCCTATATAGCATTTTCAAAGCATGGTTCTATATGGAACCCTATAAAAAAGGTTCTATTTAGCACTAAAAAAGGGTTCTGCTATTGTTACAAGCCGGCGAACCCTTTTCTGGTACTGTTTAGAACCATTTTTCTTAAGAGTGTACTCTGGTTAAAATTTCTCAATGGTAGTGTAAAACACCACCCTTTTTACCCTGTCAAAAACAGCTCTTTCTTGCATGCCGCTTTAAATGCTAATGAGCTCTGCTCACCCTGCCCCTCTCTTCCGAGCTGCTCTCTGAGAGACGGTAAACTTTAGCCGCATTCATCGTTTAACTTGCTAACTAGCACGTTGTTAGGAAAGGTGATTTGCAAAGATTCATTAAAAAAAATTATACTCACTTCTTCTGTAGGTGAGGCTTGGAGGTGATTAAACAGTACAATGAAACGTGGTATTATTTACACAATCTATGCGTTTGTTAAATTTATTTCTAGTTAGTTGATTTGATTAATTTGTGGCTTTTCGTTTCTGTTCATAAAGATGCATGATACGAGTGTTTCTACCAGGGGTGCCCAAACTCTGTCCTGCAGAGTTTAGCTTCAACTTGCCTCAACACACCTGCTGGTAAGTTTCTAGTATGCCCATAAATGCTTGATTAGCTGGTTCAGGTGTGTTTAATTGGGGTTGGAGCTAAACTCTTCAGGACACCGGCCCTCCAGGACCGAGTTTGGGCACCCCTGGTTTATACCATCTGTACTGTGATCGGCTGGATTAGTTCCACCTTGTCATTGTGTCGCTCACATTACAAGATCACATGGCGATAATATCAAACAGGTTTGAAAATGTCGTAGCGTCTGTGATAGCTCAAGACAGGTTTGGATCACGTTGCTGATCTGCTCATACTTAACGAGCTTTGGCGACCGCAACGAGCACCGATTTGGTCACGATCTGGGGGTTTTGTCACAGACTGTGGAAATCTGCCAAAAATTCCAGTAGCCCCTCACTGCAGAACAAAGATCCAGGGGGCAGGGGATCCACATCTAGGGGGTGGAGATGATAGGTTTAGGGGTGGAGATGGGTGGGTTTAGGGATCAAGGGGTGGAGATGGGTAAGTTTAGGGTTCAGGGGGTGGAGACGGGTAGGTTTAGAGGTGGAGATGGGTTGGTTTAGGGATCAGGGGGTGGAGATGGGTAGGTTTAGGGGAAAGAAAAAGTTCCTGGGACAAATTGTTCCAGGTAAATTTTGTGGAAAAGCGGCTTATGTATGTAATTGTGGGTTAAAATACCTAATCTGATGTTATCAACACTTCTACAGAAAATGGTTGAGTGTTTTGATGTGTTTATGAACATCTCTGGGTTATCTGATGAGGTTCTGGGAGTGTTGCGCTACAGGAACTTTGGGGAAGATAAGGACAGGAAGTATCAAAACATACTGAAATGAATAAAAACAAGCTGAGTGACTATATTTTATTTCACCTAGTGCATACTTTGTTCATTTAGAAAATATGGACCACAACATGGCCCAAAATCACACTACTAAGTAACTGACCATCTAAATTTAAATGGAAACCAAAGCAAAATAAAAGGATTACATGCTTAACACAAAAATATGGAAATTGTAACTAAATAAAAGCATGAAAATAAAACAAGGAGATCTACAAAAGGTTAAAAAATTGATTAGGCTTACAAAATGACACTAGGATTAGTAATATTTCTTCAACATGTCTGTCTTTTTCCAGAAACAAGCATAGAGAATATGATTTATAAGTGAACACATAAAGAAAATGCTTTTAAAAAAGCACATTCATAATCTTTAATGCCATTTTAAGATATGATCTTGCAGCATTTGACCAGGGTTGCCAACTCTCACACATTTGTCTGACAGGCTGTCTCGCGCTCTCACTCTGCACGTTTAAATCTCATGCCAAAGTGACAACCCTGCTTGAGATGAAACAAAGTCTCAGCTTTCAAATTTTGCAAGCTTTAATACTAAATTCAAACAATAAATACAGCTTTGGCGCACTTGATGTGGCGTAAATCGTAAAAGTGGTTCACGGACCTCTCCAAACAAACCAGAGTTGACAATATATTTTATTTCACCTAGTGCATACGTTGTTCATTTAGAAAATATGGACCACAACATGGCCCAAAATCACACTACTAAGTAACTGACCATCTAAATTTAAATGGAAACCAAAGCAAAATAAAAGGATTACATGCTTAACACAAAAATATGGAAATTGTAACTAAATAAAAGCATGAAAATAAAACAAGGAGATCTACAAAAGGTTAAAAAATTGATTAGGCTTACAAAATGACACTAGGATTAGTAATATTTCTTCAACATGTCTGTCTTTTTCCAGAAACAAGCATAGAGAATATGATTTATAAGTGAACACATAAAGAAAATGCTTTTAAAAAAGCACATTCATAATCTTTAATGCCATTTTAAGATATGATCTTGCAGCATTTGACCAGGGTTGCCAACTCTCACACATTTGTCTGACCTCGTCATGCTTGTCATGTGACACAGCAGCCACAATAGCACTGTAACTGATATAGGCTTATGTTTTATTTATTTATTTTTATTCGAAATATTCCCAAACATGTTAACTATATCATGAAATGTATATATGTGTAAGTAAATGCATTTTGCACCTTTATAGGTAATGGTAGGTGATCTATAATGGGCAATGGGCAAAGTAGCTTAATAGTGTAATCTATTAACTATGCATAAAATGGAGAAAAGGCAAGGGTTTTAAATTCCAATGCAAAGAGGCAAATTAGAGTCATTTTGTTGTCGGAAAAAAAATCATTTTCATTTGTAACGCCATGGTTCACCCACTAGGTACCTGTATGGCTCTTTACTAACATGTATCTAGAATATTGCAGGTTACCTGTTTTTACAATTTTAATTTGAATAAATATTTAGACATGATTAAACACTAGATTTTTTATATGTGAAATTAAAAAAGTTAATAACTTACATCCTTTATTTTAAGGATGAACTTAAAAGTTGGCAACCCTGATTTGACATTAAACGAGGGAGTAATTGAATCTTTTGTCTACAGGTGGCTGCAGTGAGCTGATACAGAATCGTCTATAAAGTTATCAGTGAACTTCATCTGTGTGTAATAATGGCAGTATGAATATAAGGCACCAAATCATTACATTCATGTATAAAATGTTTTAAAAAACACCTTTTAACATATATTTTGCAGGATTTCAATTGTATTTTATTTGTCACCCACCCGAACTACATGAGATGCAACACAGCCACGTCACTCAAACGAAAGCTATTTTAATAACTTCCGCGTAATGCATGTGTTTATGTACATTAACAACGATAATAGTTGTCTACATTAGTAACTGACGTCTGTACACAATTGTTCCAGTTTACTAGGTTCTTTAAAAAGGGTTTTATCTCGTAAACGTTTCGAAAGCGGAATGTTTCTTCGCCGTATTTTTTTCACCGCCGGTACATTTTAGGACGAGCGCGACCAGGAAGCAGAGTGCAGACACTGAAAACATTACGCTCAGAAATTGTTTATCAATGTTATTCTATTAAAGTAACGCTGGAGGAAGCGATCGCACTGCTTGAGCTGTATCTCGTGGTCATGATTATATCTTTCTCATGGGCTGTTTATTTTATGTTCGTGTCTAAGGCTGGTGTGGGCAAGAATTATGGAATAGATTGGTGAAGGTCTGCTGGAGAGATTTCATTTGAGTAAACAGAGCAAAATAAGCACCGCTAAACACTTTCAACGTGTCGTTTTTATTCTCTGCAGATGGGTTTGACTCTTTGAGATGGTGAAGCTGGCTCTGTAGGCTCACTGAAGGCGTGGAAATGGACTTCTCCAAGTTCCTGGCAGATGATTTTGATGTGAAGGGCTGGGTGAATGGAGCTTTTAAAGTGGTTCAGAAAGATGCACCTGGTAAAACAGACGCTCACGCTTCTACTCTGGTCATGAAGCTGCAGCTGTTCATTCAAGAGGTCAATAACTCTATAGAAGGTGAGAAGCAGTCTTTCAAATGTCTGAATGTCACTGCATTCTCAAAAATTCTGTAGTAAGCGTTTGTCTCTTCTTCTCACCAAGGCTGCATTTATTTGATCCAAAATACAGTCAAATTTAAAATAACTGCTTTCTATGTGAATATATTTTGAATCGTAATTTATTCCTGTGATCAAAGCTGAATTTTTATCATCATACTCCAGTCTTCAGTGTCACATGATCTTCAGAAATCATTCTAATATGCTGATTTGCTAATTTTTTTTAACATCAGTGTTGAAAACAACTGTGCTGCTTCATATTTTTGTGGAAACCGTGATACTTTACAGAATTCTTTGATGAATAGAAAGTGTAAAAGAACAGCATTCATTTGAAATGGGCATTTCGGTAACATTAGTCTTTACTGTCATTTCATGATCAATTTAATGCATCACTGCTGAATAAAAGTATTCATCTCTTAATTTTTGAATGGTCTGTTTGGTCTGTCTCTGATTGTCTTTCTGTGTGTGTTTGCAGAGAGCAGCAGTCAGGCCCTGCAGAATATGCCGCGTGTATTGAGAGATATCGAAGCTCTGAAACAGGAGGCGTCTTTCCTGAAGGATCAGATGATTCTGGTTAAAGAGGACATCAAGAAATTCGAACAGGACACAGTGCAGTCTATGCAGGTAAGAATAAATACACACACAAATCACTTTTTGATCTGTGCAGCTGTTCTATAATATCTAACTTTAATTTGTTTTTTTTAATTATTATTAGCTTAAAGGGATAGTTCACCCAAAAATGAAAATTTAATGTTTATCTGCTTACCCCCAGGGCATCCAAGATGTAGGTGACTTTGTTTCTTCAGTAGAACACATTTGATGATGTTTAACTCCAGCCGTTGCAGTCTATCAGTCGTATAATGCATGGCAATGGTAACAAAATCTATGAGAGTAAAAAAACATGCACAGACAAATCCAAATTAAACCCTGCGGCTCGTGACGACACATTGATGTCCTAAGACACGAAACGATCGGTTTGTGCGAGAAACCGAACAGTATTTATATCATATTTTACCCCTAATACCCCACTATGTCCAACTGTCTTTGGGCGCGCGCACGGCATCCGGTGCGTGAGGGGTGTACGCGCTCTGGCGTAGTTTACGTTAATGGTGTGTTGATAGCCAGCCGAAGAGCAATCAACCATAACTTCAGGCAAGCAGGCTCAGAAGTTGGGAATATGTGGAAAGTCACCACTCCCGAATGAGTTTGCGTGAGAGAAAGTAATCTTTTAGTTTTAAGTCGGTTTGAACAATCCGGATAAGCGCAAGTAAGTACCATTTTGATTAGCAGTCGTACCTACAATGACTGTGCACTGTGTAAACAATGAGTGACGTATACGCGCGAGAGATCACTTCCGGCGCTTGCGTAAACTACACCAGAGCGCGTGTACACCTCACGCACCGGATGCCGTGCATGTGCTCAAGGCAGTTGGACATAGTGGCGTATCAAAAAATTATATAAATACTGTTCGGTTTCTGGCACAAACTGATCGTTTCGTGTCTTAGGACATCAATGTGTCGTCACGAGCCGCAGGGTTTAATTTGGATTTGTCTGTGCATGTTTTTTTACTCTCATAGATTTTGTTACCATTGCCATGCATTATACGACTGATAGACTGCAACAGTTTGAGTTAAAAATCTTCGTTTGTGTTCTACTGAAGAAACAAAGTCACCTACATCTTGGATGCCCTGGGGGTAAGCAGATAAACATCAAGTTTTCATTTTTGGGTGAACTATCCCTTTAAAGTACATTTAATACAAGTATTATTTCAGAATATTTTGCAAACAAGTCCAACTCTAACCATGTAATGTCTGAAATACTCTTTTTAAATTGAACAATTTATTGAATCTTTAGACAAAATATTCAAAAAAAAATTGCATTTGAAAAAAAACTACTACTTCCATAAAATGCATAAAAATATCAGTTGCCTCTCGATCACTCCCAATGACGTCTTAATAAGATAATATTTCAATGCTTAGTTTTATGATAAAAGGTCTGTAGTTTCAAAACTAATAATGCAATCCAATACAATGATGATTGAGAGATGAACAGATAAACGTTCCTCAGAAGCCTGATGGATCATATTTGATTCTCAAATTTCAACATGGCATTTCTAAAAAATAATGTATGGATAATCAAGTTGCTCCAGTCCAGTAAGTGTTCATCTTGAAATATTACTAGCAAAATGACAGGTATTATTGTTTACTTTATAAAAACCATTAAAGATTTCACAGCAAAAAGATAGTAGTAGTTATATAGATATAATAGTTCAGCCCCTGCTGATTTTTGCTTTATGCAAATGTTAACTTTTTATGGCGTACTGTAGACCGTTGTTTGTTTTTTATATTGATGTGTGGCAGGTGTTGGTGGAGATTGATCAGGTGAAGTCTCGTATGCAGTTAGCAGCAGAAGCACTACAGGAAGCTGATAAATGGAGCACTCTCAGCGCAGACATCGAGGAGACTTTTAAGACGCAGGTGATGTATGACACGTCTGTCTTCTCTTCACGCACATCACACGAGTGCGGATGTCAGTCTGAAATGTTCATATGTGTTTGTCTGCAGGACGTGGCTGTGATCAGCGGTAAACTGACCGCCATGCAGGGTAGTTTGGTGATGCTGGTGGACACACCAGACTACAGTGAGAAGTGTGTTCAGCTGGAGGCTCTGAAGAACCGTCTGGAAGCTCTGACCAGCACACAGATCGTCTCCACGTTCAACTCGCTGGCTACAGGTGCTGTTATACATCAGGTTTATGTGTAAAAGAGATGCATTTTAAATGGCATCGCATTTATCAAAGAATTGGAGTCAGTAAAATTTTAGTTTTGAAAGAAATTCATATTTTTCTTCAGCAAAGATGCATTAAATTGATCAAAAGTGACAGTAAAACATGTATAATGTTATTAAAGATTCCTGTTTTTCATAACTGCTGTTTGAACTTTCTATTCATCAAAGAATCCTGGAAAAAGCATCACAGTTTCCATAAAAATATGAAGCAGCACAATTATTAATAATAATATTTCTTGAGCAGCAAATCAGCATGTTAGAATGATTTCTGAAGGATTATGTGACACTGAAGACTGGAGTAATGATGCTGAAAATTCAGCTTTACATCACAGGAATAAATTACATTTTAAAATAAATTCACGTAGAAAACAGTTGTTTCAAATTGCAATAATATTTTACAATATGACAGTTTTTACTGTATTTTTGATCAAATAAATAATGCAACATTGGTGAGCATAAGAGACTTCTTTCAAAAATAAAAAAAATCATCTTACAGAATAATATGCTTTAATATGCCAAGATGCTAATATTTATTTGTATAATCCGTTTCAGATCAAGCAAAGCTTTTTGTACGAGTTTTTACCGAAATGGACAGAATGCCGCAGTTACTGGCTTACTACTATAAATGCCACAAGGTACAACATTTTAATTTGAAACTTAAAAAAAAAAAAAGATTGCTTTAGAGTTATCATGAAATTACCTATATTTAAACGGCTTTGAAATAGATTTTTATACCTGTACTGCACAGGTTTTAAGGTAAAAAGACAAAATTTGGAGATGTTTTTATGTTTTACGTATTGCGTATTTAAAAAAGTATCACCTGAATGCATTTTCAACTTTTATTAAGCATTAAAGGTTTTATATGTTTTTGGTTGCACTCTATTTTACAGTACATGTACTTACAGTGTGCTTAAGAAAGTACCTAAGAAAGTACTTGCAATATAAGGTTAGGTTTAGGTGTAGGTTCAGGGTTAGTACCCAGTTATAATATTCAATTACAATATAAGTACATAGTATGTACATCCAGAACAGGACTGTAAAAGAAAGTGCTGTCAAGTTTTTTTCCACCATAAAAATAGCCTAGCTGCTGATGTGGCATTATAAAAATATTCCAAATAAATAAACTTGTGTGTGTTTAGGCACAACTGTTGAGCGTGTGGGAAAGCATCTGTCAGTCAGACGCGCCTCTGAAGCAGCAGCTCTCTGAGTTTTACGACACTCTTCTGTCTACGTGGCACACACAGCTCCAGTGGAGCAGTCAGGTACACACACTCTCATCCGCACCGCAGTACAGCGTTCATATTCTTACTTTCACACACACTAAGACGTGTGTGCATGTGTGTGCAGGTCTTTAAAAACCCCTGTGAAGTGCTCACCGTGCTGATGATCCAGACGTTGGGGGCGATGGTGCCGACTATCCCAGACTGCATTGCTGGGGCACTGAAGCGTTACACTGGCGATTGTCGTGTGGATGTGCTGTTGGAGCTCCATCAGACGGCGGCGAACTTCAGTCGCAGCCTGGAGGCAGCAATGCAGCCGCAGCTCAGTGCGTGTTCGCCAAAAAACCCCGTCAGGCATATTTCGAGCAAGAATAATTAGATGACATTAAAAGACTCTATTTAAGTATCTCAGTGCCGCCCCCAAAACTAATTAATAGTCATTTTAAATCTCTACCAGTCTTTGCCACTCTCCTTCAAACTGCTCGGTTTTACAGATTTTTCAGCAAAAAGTTTTAATCATGTAAAATTTGATAACATTTATTATCCCTTATTATGTTTTGTATATTTTATATATCTTAGTAAGTACAGGTCAGAGTAAGTTTGTTGTTTCATTTTTAAATAAATATATCTGTTATGCTAAAAGACGATGGAAAATTATTTCTCTCAATTTGACATTTTCACAAAAGTTATTTAAAACATTAGACACTTTATTTGCATTTATTATGCTTTATATTTATATAAAATCACTTTTGTTAATTTGATACTAAAATGGGGCATCTTGTCTATGACCCATTTTATATATAGATATATTGTAGATATATACATATATATGATATGGATTATGATGACGTTATTTATGATGCACATTCCTGCTATTCTCAGTATACTGTAATAAAAAATTACTGTATTCTCATTACTGTAATTAAAAAAAATATACAAAACATTTGTTATATGACTGAAGTTGTAGAGAATAATTGCAAGAGTACATATTTACAGTAATGAGTTATTTTTTCTTATTTATTTTATTAAAAATATATTTTCAGTAAAAATATGCATAATTTTCTTATATATTTATTAAAAAATATAATTTATAATAAAAATAAATACACATTAAAAAAAATAATAAAATAAAATATATATGTTTTAAGGGCCAACAATAAATACTATTAAATAATATTACAAAACTGAACATGAAAATCATCAGTCTTTGTATATGCTTTTTGTGAATGAGTGAGATTTTATTTTTTCTAATTTTCTTGTCTTCATGTGTATGTTTCAGGTGAGTGTAACCTCTTGAAGGTGGCAGAGCTGGTATCATGTGTTTATTCGCCTTATAAGACTTATCAGATGCAGTACGGAGAACTAGAGGAGACAAACTTACTGATCCAGCTCAGTGCTGTTCCTCTGGTGAGTAAACAGAAGTTTTCATTTTTGATCTTGCATTGAACCTTTGGCTTCCAATAATTCCGATGTACGCGCTACTGTCTGTAATGTGTGTGTGCGTTACAGTGCAGCAGCGCATTAGATTAGAACGCCGATTAACTTACCTGTACAATAAGTGGTTTAAAACATGCATTCTCCCGTTCAGTTTCGAGCATCCAGTAATATGATCACACGTCTTGTGGAGCGCTTTCAGAGTATGCATTTATTTGTCATTTTAACTGTTTGGAAACGGAGCGTAAATGTGGAAGTCCTTCAAAGATTTCTCATCCTGTTGCACCCTCTAGCGACCAGCTAGTAGTTGACGTCAAGCTTAAAGCATCATGGCAGAGCGCTGAAGTCGTCAGAGCACTATGAGGCATAAAAAGCAGCATACTGAGAAATATTACCAAGACAGTATATAAACAACACTTTTTCTGTAGCATTGTCTTCAATGTGATTTGCAAACAAGTGAAGCTTATGAGTGATTCTTTTTAGTGAATCATTCTCAGACTGAATAAATCTAACCTATTGCTCACTGAATCTGTCTGTGCAGTTACTAAATTACCTGCTGTAACAGATGCTGATAAGAGTTTGTAGTTAAAGATACAGTGGAGAAAATAATTATTTGATCCCCTGCTGATTTTGTAAGTTTGACCACTTACAAAAAAATTAAGGGTCTATAATTTTTTATGGTAGGTTTATTTTAACGGCTAGAGACAGAATATCAACAAAAAAATCCAGAAAAAACACATTATATAAAGGTTATAAATTGACTTGCATTAAAATAAGTATTTGATCCCCTACCAACCAGCAAGAATTCTGGCTCCCACAGATTGGTTACGTGCCCAAGTGGAACACCGATTAGTCCTGCCACTTTTAAGAAATTACTCCTAATGTCATCTTGTTATGAGTATAAGAGAAACCAGTCCATAGAATGTGTATCTTCCATTTAAACCTCTCCCACCACCATGGGCAAGACCAAAGAGCTGTCAAAGGACGTCAGAGACAAGATTGTAGACCTGCACAAGGCTGGAATGGGCTACAAGACCATCAGCAAGAAGCTTTTTGAGAAGGAGACAACTGTTGGTGTGAATATTCGGAAATGAAAGAAATACAAAATAACCATCAATCGCCCTCTGTCTGGTGCTCCATGCAAGATCTCGCCGTATGAGGAAAGGATGGTCATGATAAAGGTGAGGGATCAACCCCGAACTACACAGGAGGAGCTTGTTAATGATCTTAAGGCAGTTGGGACAACAGTCGCCAAGCAAACCATTGGTAACAAACTACGTTGCAATGAGTTGAAATCATGCAGTGCCCGCAAGGTCCCCCAGCTCAAGAAGGCACATGTACAGGCCCGTCTGAACATCTAAATGATTCAGAGAAGGCTTGGGAGAAAGTGCTGTTGTCACATGAGAACAAAATTGAACTCTTTGGCATCAACTCGACTTGCTGTGTTTGGAGGGAGAGAAATGCTGACTATGACCCCAAGAACACCATCCCTACAGTCAAGCACAGAGGTGGAAACATTATGCTTTGGTGCTGTTTCTCTGCTATGGGTACAGGATGACTTCACCGCATTGAAGGACCGATGGATGGGGCCATGCACCGTAAAATTCTTCTTCTCTCTGCCAGAACACTGACGATGGGTCATGGATGATGGGTCTTCCAGTATGACAATGACCCAAAATACCGCCAAGGCAACAAAGGAGTGGCTCAAAAAGAAGCACATTAAGGTCATGGAGTGGCCTAGCCAGTCCCCAGACCTTAATTCTATAGAAAATCTGTGGAGTGAGCTGAAACTTTGAGTTGCCAAGAGAATTTTTATAGAGGAGTGGAACAAAATCCCTCCTGAGATGTGTGCAAACCTGGTGACCAACTACAAGACACGTCACCTCTGTGCTTGCCAACAAGAGTTTCTCCACCAAGTTTTGCTTGGGGATCAAATACTTATTTGACTCACTGAAATGCAAATCAATTTATAACCTTTGTACAGTGTTTTTTTTTTTCTGGATTTTTTTGCTTGATATTCTCTCTATCCGTTAAAATAAACCTACCATAAGAATTAAAGACCTTTCATTTCTTTGTAAGTGGGCAAACTTACAAAATCAGTAAAGGATCAAATAATTATTTTCCCCACTGTACATATTCACAAAACCGTTTTATTGTATAAATGCTATGTTTTTTATTTTCCATTCGCCATGTTTTTTTATTGAGTATTTGTGTGTGTGTGTTAGGAGCGTGGTGAGGTTCTGGACTGCGTGTTAGAGCTCACACACTCGGTTCAGAAGGTGTTTGGTTTGGCGGCGGCTGCCGTGGATCGCTGTGTGAAGTTCACGGATGGTCTCGGCGTGTGTGGGCTCATCAAAGCCCTGCGAGCGCTTTTCAGCAAGTATGAATCATACACGCTTCATGTACTACGCTTGCACACAGAGACAAACACACAGCCCACAGGTCAGCTGCGCTCTCTAGCAGATTGTCTCTTTTCTCTCTCAGGTACGTGTCAGACTTCTCTGTCACGCTTCAATCAATCAGGAAGAAGTATAAGTTAGAGGACACGCCCACTTCTGAGGTGTTCACTGAGGATTGGACGGCTTTCCAGAACTCTGTCAGGTGGGTGTTTTTTTTTTTGTTGCCATTAGTATGAGTTTATAGATGCATGTACAGTACAGTTATATAAAAGTATATACATCTTTTATTTGTTTCTTTCTTTTAGAATCATTGCAACCTGTGGTGAGCTACTCAGACAATGTGGAGCATTTGAACAGCAGCTTTCAAACAAGTAAGATGTGTTAAAGTACAAATATGCTTTATTTATTCAATTGTCTTTACTTGAGTTATTACATTTTACCCTAATAATATCCCTGTTACACTATAATTATATGATTAATATATTTAAAAACAATATAAAACTTGTATATAACATTTTAATGTCTTTAATTAAAATTATATTAACTATAAAATATATCATGTATATGTGTATGTGTGTGAATTTATCAGGGTTATTATCCTCAACTAAAACCATAAAAACCCTTGTAATTATTATATATTTAATTATTATATTATATAAATAAATAATTTTATATATACCGGTGTGTGTGTATATATTAGTTTTGTTAATCATTCATAGTTAATATTTTAGTTTTGTTAAGTTGAAGTAATAATATAACAAACTAAATAAACTAAAAACTTAACACATTTAAAAAACTATATAGACATTAAAAAAAATGACAAAATAAAAATGACAAACACATTAAAAAAAAATCGAATTCAAAACATTAACAACTATAATAACAGTATGTAAAAATTAAATAACCTAAAACTAAAACTTAAATAAATAAAACCATGTAGACCTAAAAAATAAAGTAATAAAAATAACAAATCTCACAAAAAATATAAACTAATTCAAAAAATCATAAAAAAACTGTAATAATAATAATGTAAATAATACCAAATTAACACGTGTGTGTGTGTGTGTGTGTGTTATAATAATCATTATTATCTGAATATATAAATGATAGAATTATATCTGTTCTCGCTGTAGGCGATGACGTCCCTGAGCTGGAGAACACGGCGGATTATTGGCTGGGTTCTATCGCCAGGGCGACCATGCAGACCTATTGTGATGTCATCCTGCAGCTTCCTGAGCTCAGCCCGCATGCAACCAAACAGCTGGCAACTGACATAGGTGACCGTATCATCATTACATCATGGCACCATTATCACCAAAACAATTCATATGTAACACTTGCTCTCGATGAAACTACAAAGCTCTAGTGGCTGTTTTTGTTATTCATCATTAACATCAAGATTTTCAGTTAAAATTTACATGACTAAAAATGCTATAACTTTAGCCAAGTTTTTGCAATTGTTTTATTTCTATTTTTGCCGCCTTGTTAATTTTATAATTGGTCTTTAAAAACACTTGTATATGTCTTATTATTGTCATTCCAGATTACCTGAGTAATGTGATGGATGCGCTGGGGTTGCAGACCTCTAGAAGTCTCCAGAATATCGTCACCCTTCTTCGCGCCAAACCGGACTCTCTCTGTAGGCGACGACGTCCCTGAGCTGGAGAACACGGCGGATTATTGGCTGGGTTCTATCGCCAGGGCGACCATGCAGACCTATTGTGATGTCATCCTGCAGCTTCCTGAGCTCAGCCCGCATGCAACCAAACAGCTGGCAACTGACATAGGTGACCACATCATCATTACATCATGGCACCATTATCACCAAAACAATTCACATGTAACACTTGCTCTCAATTAAACTACAAAGCTCTAGTGGCTGTTTTTGTTATTCATCATTAACATCAAGATTTTCAGTTAAAATTTACATGACTCAAAATGCTATACCTTTAGCCAAGTTTTTGCAATTGTTTTATTTCTATTTTTGCCTTCACTTGTTAATTTTATAATTGGTCTTTAAAAACACTTGTGTATGTCTTATTATTGTCATTCCAGATTACCTGAGTAATGTGATGGATGCGCTGGGGTTGCAGACCTCTAGAAGTCTCCAGAATATCGTCACCCTTCTTCGCGCCAAACCGGACGAATACCGGCAGACGGCCAAACCCCTCCCGCGCAGACTGGCCTCGGCCATCGCCACCATGAGAGGTCTGGAGTACTGACCCCACCGCAGGCCAGGAGCAGATGGGCCAATATGTGTTGAAGGGTTTTCATTGTTGCCGAAACAAACACCAAAATGTGACACTAAACAGATCTAATATTTCTCAACAAACACAATAAATCTATAAATGGCACTTTTTGTTAATTATGTTTTTAACAAATTTTAACTGAAGTTGATGGTTTGGGAAAATAAAAAATAGTCGGGCACTAAATTTTGCAGAAAAGAAAATGTTACAGTGATCCTGTTTTGTCTTGCTGGAGTTTCTTCTGCTTATTGTTGGCTCCAGGCATTTCATTGAAATGGTACAATGAAAGATGGTTCGCATATTTATTTTTTGTGTTTTGCATGTTTGCCATTATTTCTCTTGGTCAGTAATAAACATGCGCACGCTTGTGTTTCTGGTTTGTCAAGCTACATGGTAACTTTCTGCTTTTCATGTCTGGCTTTCTGAATTTGTATTTCTGTTTTCTTTGCTCACATGGGAAGTTTCATACAGCATTTGAGGAATGTTTTCAATTCTGTTCATTTGTTAACAAAATAAAACCAACTTCTGAACAGATTTAAAGCATTGTTTTGTGTTTTACAGTTCATATTAAATCTGGCCTGTGTTAAGTTTTGTAGTGCAAAAATTTGGATAAACAATGGTCAACATTGTAATAGTAAATATCACGAAATTATCAGATTGCCCCCGGATCTTGGAATGATTAATAAAATTTTATAATTTTTATAATTAGTACATATTTTATATTAAGCATATCTGAATGTGTTCACAAATATATATATAGCCTATCGGTCAAAAATCTGGGGTTACATTCATTCCTTTTTTTTCTTTGCTCACCAAGGTGGCATTTATTTGATCAAAAACAGTAAAAACAGTAAAAATTTAAATATCTTTTTTCTATTTTAACATTTTAAAATGAAATGTATTTCTGTGATCAAAGCTGATTTTTCAGCATCATTACTCCAGTCTTCAGTGTCACATGATCCTTCAGAAATCATTCTAATATGCTGATTTGCTGCTCAAGACATCTTTTTTTTCAGGGTTTTTGATGAACAAAATCAGCAAAATATCAGCATTTATTTGAGATAGAAATATCTATTTATTGTCACTTTTGATCAATTTAATCTAAATAAATATAAAGATAACTTTACTGACCGAAAACTTTCTGACCCAACATGTTTTATATTGCTACAAAAACAAAAGGAAAATATCTTCCAGTATGGATGCAAGTGTCAATGTGCATTAGGTCTTGTATGAAGAAAAACACATTAAGGTTGTTAATCACTTTAATCATATTGATTACTGATCACGTTGATTGATCGGGATGATTGGCAGTGGTCAGAGAGGTGGTGATTGCATATCTGTAATTCAAGTACATCAAATCAAACTTAATACACAAGAAACAGTGATCAAACTGACATTGTATACAAGAGCAGGCACAGTAAATCGAACAAGAAGAATTAGATGCAGACAGATCTACCATTCCAAATCATCTTAAGAGGGCAGTGAGCTTCAATGTGCGTGAAAGACGGAGAGACAAGCTCAACTTGTCCTGAACACAAAACCATTATGCTAGAGAATAAACCTAAATCAGACTGGAGTTTGCCTGTGTGGATATGCGTCGTCGTGCTCCTGCTAGAAGCATGCTTTAAATGATTTATTTGTGAGCCAAACACAGGCTCTTTTTTATAGTCATAGCGAACGACAACAAAGTGGTCATAAAAAATATGAACAATCTTCGAAATGGAACAAAGTGATGAACAGAACAAAAAACTCTGTATAAAATATAAATTATTCACTAAATTGATAATTATAAACAAAAGTATTTATAAAACTATAAATATGCACAACTTTGAAAAAACAAAGACCTATTTGGGCAATAAGGTTTCATTCTGGGCTGGGAATGGACCCAGTGACCCAGCACCGGTCGAGATATCTCGTTTTCGCTTGGTAAGGTTTCGAAAATATAAGCTGTGTCATATTGTCTTTCCCCAAAAGGTCGCATGTCCACTTCCACCATATATCAGAAGCCGATGATATCAGCACACCCGAAATATCACAAACCGTGCCCCACACCAGACACCGGACCGCTGCCTGCTCGAACCGTCACCGTCTTTCATATTCACTTTGTTCTGTCCTTTCTGTCGACTTGCTAATTATAGCAAGATGCTTTTCATCTGCAATATCAGCGACAAGACAGTCAAGCACCTTTTCAAGGGCAACTGGCTGCGAGCATCTATTTCTGTCAGGACCACTATCGTCAAAGATGATTGACAATTAGCATACAGTTTGGATTGGCAGTATGGTTCTGTTCTGGGCAAGAACTCCCTGCGCATCCATGCAGCCTAGCATGGATGAGAGCAGGCAGAGCAGCGATAAGCCCCCAGGGTAAACAGAACAGAACCAACATAAATGTATTGCAGATATCGTTAAAGTTCAATAATGTTATGTACACATTTTAGAATTAGTCTGATTCAAAGGAGAATCAGAAGGCTGAATCCTGACTGACAGAGGAGGAGCAGGGGATGGAGGAGGGTAATTAGGTATTGAGCAATGCAAAAACTGCTGATACTACTGCGGGACCTTATATATGAATGCTTAGATATAGGTATTCCCATAGGTTGATGGGGATCAGCTGAGAGTCAGCTGATGCGAGCTTGACTAATGTGACCTGCCAGAACTAACGCTATGCTTGATATTTTATCTATCTGCCCTGTCATTGAAATAAAATCACACACTTCTGCGATAAAAATATAAACCTGGACTCATTTGCTTAAGCTGACTCTGATTAAATGACTGAAAATATGATTCATGTGATTCGCCTGTCATGTAGCTTATAGCTAATACGTCTTGCATATTTTTTGCACATTGTGAACAAGTTTGCAAATGCCCTCGTGTTTAATAAATGCTAACAGATTAGCTGTAGTGCTACCATGCTAAAGATGCTACTAGAGTGAGGCCGAAGTTCGTTTCGGTGAGGCCCATCTGAAAAAAAAAAAAATCTAAAAATGTTTTTCATTAGCTTAAACCTAAGGGTTTAGCTTTAGCCTGGTGTCTTGAGAACTTTTTCTTAAAGAATTTGCTTAAAGCTAAATGCTAAATGTTAAAGGTTAGCATCAAACTGGTGTCCTGAGAAGAAAAATAACTTCTATGATAAACATGTTGTGTAAAACTGAACACTTAGGATGTCAGATTAGCATGGTTAGCTATTTTAATTCTGTAGCCAATATTATGGCAACTAAACATTTAACTTTGATTTTCATATTAACATAAGCTAAATGCTAAAGCTTGAGCCTGGTGTCCTGGGAATCGAAAACAAATTCCATGATAAACAGGTTGTGTAAAACTACACATTTCCAAGACACCAAATTAACATGATCAGAGTTAGCTATTTTAATTCTGTAGCTTTAGAATAACACATTTAACTCAACTGGTATGTTTCACATTAGCCTAATGCTAATTGCTAAACTTTAGCTTCAGCCTGGTGTCCTGAGATACAAAAACAACTGCTAAACAAATTGCAAAACTGCACATGTATGGACACCAAATTAGCATGATTAGAATTAACAATTTTAATTATGTAGCCTATATTACAGAACGACAAATAAACACATTTGACTCTTAACACTGTGATGTTTTATTCGCCTAAAGCTAAATGCTAAAGATTTAACTTTAACCTGGCGTCTTGAGACCCAAAACAAGTTGTAAGATAAACAAAAAGATAAAAAAAAAACTGGGTGGCAATTTTAAGACATCAAATTAGCGTGTTTAATGTTAGCAATTCTAATTCTGTAGCCAATATTACAAAATGACATTCTTTCTCTTCTGAGCTTATTCGTATTCAAGTGTTTTCATTGCTTTCGCCCACTTAATAAGCTATCAGCTGTGATTTTGCTAAGCTAAAGGCTAAAGACTATTGGCAAGGGATGATGCCTGTGTCCTAACTTCCTGTTTTAACAGGAAATACATCAAACAAGTGACAGCAAAATGCTCATGAAAACAATCCGACGAGATGAAAATGAGAAATAGCTGCACGGGCAGGCAGAGGTCTGGTGCGCAACTGAGCATTCACATTTTTCACCTGAGATTAGAGACACAATGCCTTTACAAAAACACAAGTTTTCCACGCTGCATCTGTTCGTAAGGAAGACGCTGAGACCGATACGAGTCTCCACTTTGCCTTGCTACAATCTCCATTCTCCATCTCAATCTCATTATCATTCATATTATTGCCAATGACAGCAGGTGAACTCAAAGTGAGAATGAAACGCTATTAGCCCCGATGCATGTGGGGGAAAGACACCATATCCCGCTTACAGAGGATTCTAGCGTCAGCACAGTTGTTATCATGGCTACAGAGGGAACTAATGTTGTACGCAGACAAACATTAGCTGAACACTTCAATAAAAGACGAGATAGGTGATTCCTACGACATACAGAGAGAGATTCGCAACCAAAATATACAGTCCAGGCGGCGTTTCGATGGAAGAAATGAAACTGAATGAGAATGTAACATGGGGCAGTATGTAGCAGAATCGCTTTTGGTGGCATTGAGATTTTTTGTTAAAATCTTAAACTAATAAAACAGTTCAGTGTGTAACTCGCAGTCAGAATTTATTCACATTTTTTTCCCATCTCAAAACAAAATATAGCTCTTTTAAATATATTATTTTTCTTAAATATCCATTGCATATCATGTGTTTTTTTAATTTATGTATTTTTATTAACATCTTTATTATTAATATCTTTTTTTAATTATTATTTTAGCCCTCCCCACTTCAACTAAGGGCTAGCAGAAAATACAGTCATGCAAAGTTCTCATGCTGGTAAACAACGTTACAAAAATGCATTTTTAACGTTTTTTTAGTAGTATTTTTTTTCGTTCATTTTTTTTCCCTCATATATTTTGACATCCATTTTCTCACAGTTCAGTCTACGAGGAAACAATCTCTTCTGTTTTTGCACCCTCCCTCCAAAAGAGAGCGTTAATATCTATTCTTTCATCCTTTTTTTGTATAAGTCGGCGGCTGTTCGTAGGGTGGTCGGCGTTGCGTTTTTACAGTCGCGTTCGGGCACCGGTTGCATCATGTTCCTCGTGAACTATGGAGATGTTTTTGCAACTACTTATCAAAATATAAATTTGTTCTTTTTTTGCACATTTATTCTTCTTGATTCGTTTGGCGTGACCTCCTGCGTTCCCTCTGATTAGTTAAGAAGGAATGGCGCTGGCAAGCCAATAGGAGAGAATACAAGACAGAGACGGAGGGAAACTCTGAAAAGGCAGTTTTAGACGTATTGACGATTTTTAGAAAGGGAGATTTTAAGAATGTATCTACATTTCCCTGACCTTTATACCCTCTTTCCACAAGGAAAAAACAAACTTCCACTTGTTATTGGTCCAAGCACTCGCATGTGCATGTATATAATCAATGGCAGCATCAGCTCTACTAAATAAATCACAAAAGAAATCTCTATAATCAGGAACGAGAGAGACCTCCCTCAATTTAAGTTTTTTTTGGGATTTACAAACAGCACCCCTGGCAGAACAGCCAATCCGTTCATATTTAAAGGGACGAAAAGTTCAGATCTGATAGGGAATGTCTCAAGTTATTTTGTGCCATTTTAGCTTTTGTAGATTATTTGGTCACAGTTGGGCTTTGGTCTGTCGGGACTGTTTTCGATGTTG